CCCGCTTTAAAAACAAGGTTCCTGTACTTGCTGCTAAAATCTAAATGAATAAACCATGTTCTCGTATATGGCAGCTCAGACGAGCCGCAGATGCTACTTTTCTGTTTCCTAGGACTACTTGTACAGTATATGATAAATAATCTCTTTGTTGTCTCTCCTTGTTGTCTTGCCCTTGAGAGATGGTAAAGTGAGACATAGTTCGTGTAGCCTCAGTGCCCTCTACAGTCCAAGATGTGTAACTGGCTTAATGTACCTTAAAGCTGGCAGATGCAAACAGTAAATGAAATATTTCAGTATCTGCAGGAACATATAACTAAGTAGCTTCTGCTATATGAAGGAATTCTGTGCATTCTTTAACTTCCTTTCCGGTAAAGCTCTTCTGGGGACCTCCAGCTTCAAGAGTTGTCACCTTTCTGCTGCTTTGGCAAATACTGAGTTTTCCTTCCATAGCTTTTGTGTTTTCATTGTCTCCCTTTACCGCCACTGTGTTCAAACCTGACTCTCCCACATTTTCTTTACCTCCCAGGAGTATTTCTAGGTCTGGGTCTTAGTGGGGTTATTCCCACCCTGCACTTTGTCATCTCTGAGGGGCTCCTGAAAGCAGCCACAATGGGGCAGATAGGCTGGCTGGCACTCATGGCATGCCTGTACATCACTGGTGCTGCACTATATGCTGCCCGCATCCCGGAGAGATTCTTCCCTGGCAAGTGTGACATCTGGGTGAGTCTACAGAGTGACTGGATGAGGAGACCAACGTGAAAGCTGGTTCCCCTTGAGGCTGGAGGATGTTGTGTCAATGTTTTCTTATTGCAAGTATCAAACTGCTGCACCAGAAGCATAGGTCTCAAGGGGCCAAACAACTGTGGGCTCTCTGAGCCTGGCTTACCTGGTGCCTCACTTGCTGAGCTATCACAAACTGGCTGGTCTGAGGTAACTGCTGGTGTGCAAATCCACCCCAGCACAGGTACTAGATAGCTTTGATAGATGGGTAGGCAGCTTTGCGAACCTTTTTGTGTGTGTATGTTGAGGATCCTGCAAACACACATCTTACTGTGCTTCTGGGCAGAGTAGTACATCGTTATTGCTCTGATGTTCAGTGTGTTCTCTGGGATCTTCACTGTGTCTGGTGCCTCATCTTGTGCAGCCAGTGAAAACGCTGGATAGAGATAGTAGACTTTGGAGGGATCTCTGGCCCAGAAGAAAGGAAAGTGAGGTGAGCAAGTGGGTGGGTGGGGGAAACTTCGGATGAGGGAAAGGATCACAAAGACTGTAGAGGGGAATTATGTGGGGAAGATGTAAAGAAAGAAATTGGGTGGAGCAAGAGGAGAGATGAGAGGGAGGTGGACCTTTGGAAGGCCACTGTACTTCCACTGGGATAGTTCAAGGCCCCTAAAGAAGAGTAGAAGTGAGAATGAGGCCTGGGTTGTTTGAGTGGCTTTTGCACAGCACCAGTTTGCTAGGTTTGTTTGAATGGCCAAACAAGCCTTGTTATGATAACGAGCTAGGCTCCAAAAGAACTGGTGTACCACCAACTCTTAGCTTCCCGTGGAACCTGCAAATACACGTTTGCAGACATTTTTCAAGAGCATTATCCATGTAGGTACGGCTTCCCTCAGACAAGGGCATGCTTTGTCACGTAGCTCCCTCATGGTTTTCATTCTGCTGTACTTTAATCAATAGCATCCTGGGCATTCATTGAGAACATCTGGTTACTTCTAGGTTTTAATATAATGCCTTTTTTTTTTCCTCTTCTGTTTCTCTGTGGCAGAGAAATAACAACGTTCAAAATCTACTTGGTAAAACTTATGCCTGTGACCAGAGCAGAGTTTGTACCTGTTAGCTGTATGAGATAGCCCTGATTTTAAAAGTGCCCTGATTTTAAACTGATTTTAAAAGTGCCCTGCTTAAGCTTTTTGCCCAAAGCTCTGAAATCGTCGTTGTCCCTTCACAAAGATGCGCTATAGCATTTATGTAACGAGTTTGTTGGTTGACCAGCTGGTTAAGATGACTGTGAAGGAAAGGGAGTGTGTGTGTGGAGAATTTGATTATTTTGCTAGTGATAGAGAGGGGTGGGCTTCAATAAGTAACTTGGAGAACTTCGCAGCTTGTAGTTTGAGGTACTGCTACGTGTTACTGTGTACTTCAGCTGAATGTGTGGGTTTTTTGGAGACAGGGTAGCACTAGAACCCAAAGTACCCCAGCTGAACCGAAGTGTTTTCTTTTCCGCAGTTCCACTCCCATCAGCTGTTTCACGTCTTTGTAGTGGCTGGTGCTTTTGTGCACTTCCATGGGGTTTCGAACCTCCAGGAGTTCCGTTTCACGGTCGGAGGAGGCTGCACAGAGGAAGATGGAATGCAGTAAAATCAGCCTTCAGCCCGAGTTCGTAACCAAAACAGTACCGCAAGCGTGCGGTTGAAGCATACAGGCTAGCGAAATGAATACCTAAGAAGAATCCAAGTTTCAGCTGATGGGGCATGGAGCTTCATGGGGATTCTGACTAACCAAGATAAATTCTATACCTCAAGCGATGGAATGAATCAATTTGAAGACCAGGAAATTCTGAAACCCTAATTTATTCTTGGGATCTACAGATTGAGCTACAGAGGACCCTTTCCAAATCGGCTTCTGTTCAATGCCATATTTATTTGTAGAATTGGGGAGGGATAGCTTAGCAGTTTCTTTTTTTTTTTTTTTTATTAAAGAAAAAAAATCAAGGTTAAATTTATATCCTCTTGGAGGGTTTGGGAGTCGATTTTAGATGCTCTTTTGGGAGAAAAACAAATTGTAAATAAGATTTCTAACTTTCTGTTTAAATAAAATTTATATAAATGTTTTAAACAATGGGTGGGGGGAAAAGGGTTTTTGTAAAGAATGCAACATGCAAGTACCACACACTGTTTCAATTTTGCACAAAATAAATGATTGCAGGAGGACCAGGTAAAATTCCCAGGAGTGAAGCATGTTGGCGCTGCAGATTTCCTGGTAGCCAGCATGCCCTGGGCAATGTCGGGTCCTGGCCAGCACTTGGAGTAGGTTCAGTACGTGTACACAAGGGTTGGGAAGGCTGGATTAGTCACATTGTCATCCAGGTCACAGTGTTAGCAAGTTGATTTACTCGAGTAACTCAAAAGATAACATCTGCGCCCTGCTTAAGCGTGTGGGACAGCTGCCTTCCAAGCTTGCGTGGCCTGTGTAGTTTTGGGTAGTGGATCTTACAGTTAGTTGTTTTGGTTCTCATCATATGACTTGGAGCATGATGGGATAACTGCATGTGAAATGGCAAACAGTCCAACTCCATCAGTGCCTGCCTATACCCAAAGGCCCCTATTGAGTAGATGGTTGCCGTTTGCGGGCCTGCTCTGTTTTCTCGGAACAAATGATGGTAATGCACTTGTCAAAAGATAGTTGAGCATGTGAGGGGAAACGGAGGTGGGGTTAAGATGGACTGGAAAGAGGAAGCTGTGTGCTCCAGGACTTGGAGTTAACAGTTACTGCAGACCTCAAGCACATTACCTTCTCATGTGTCAGGCTCCATATGCCAAGGGAGTTTGCAGGTTTTTCTTTTTAAGAGGAAAAATCCACAATCAGGCCAATGCAGTTCCATTTTTTTTTTTCCTTAGGTCTGCTTCCCATCTGTGCGTTAGCAGTGGGACTGCTGGTATTTCTTAAACCTAAAACTAAGAGTTCAGTTGGATTGCTGTGGAGCAGACGCACCTCCTATATAAGGGGAGGCGTATACCCTTTGCTTGTGTAATTGATGTAGCTTGATCTTTGGAGCCCAGTCAGAAGCCAGACTGAAGGAGAATCTTTGGAGTCGTAAGATGAAACTTGAACGTTTTGTTTGTTATGGCACAGGTATTGCTTGGAGTGTTTAGTTGGAAATTCAGAGCAATTACCTCTCTCACAGATGAGTTAAACAGCTCATAAAGTGCTGTATTTCACAAGGAAGGAAGGTAAAGGGTGGGGTTTTTTTATTGTGGTTTGGGGGGGGGGGTTGGTTTTTTTGTTGTTGTTGTTGTTTTTTTTTTCTTAAGACTCCTGCAAGTTTGAATCATCCTTCGAAAGAAAAATGTGGATTGCAAAGATCTTTCCATACCCTGGGTATCATGGAGTGTGTTTTGGGGAGTTACTTTGCCTAATGGAGTCAAGTAGAAGCAGAATGCCTTCTGAAAGTTGACTGGACTTTAAGGCTTCACCCCTCGAATGGAGTCTTTGTAAAGCCTCTGAGAGCAAGGTCAGCTGCTGAAAGAGGTGCCGCAGTAGAGTCTGCGAGCTTAGAGGGACGTGTTCTCAGTAGGATCACTACACTGGATGCCTGTAGGGCCAGAAGCAGCTTATCACAGGTCTGTGTGGTACTAAAATGGAGTAGAGAGCAGTATTAACTTGGAGGTCAGGGCTAATAGCACTGGCATCCCGGACAGACATGTAGAGTTGCCTGGCAGGAGGTCTACCAGTGTCTGAGAAAAGCAGGGTACATATCAGAATCAGAGTTGTCTGTAAGGTGCTTTGGGATACCTCTGTAACAGTACCAGCAGAAGCGGCAGTCTCCATCCTGGATCATCCCACCTTCACTCCTTGAAGGGTGATTGTAACCTGGTCCTACACAGCACAGAACTATTACAGAAACACAGTACTCCACCTGCTATTCTTAACCCAGTCAGTCTCTCCGTTTGAGAAGCTTGTGTTCCAATAAAAACAACCTAGCTGTGCACTTTTCTGTAGCTCTTGCTGAGAACTCTTCCCAGGTTGGCACCTGAATGCCTTACTCTCAGCAGTCAGAGGCTTGCTTGCTCTGTGTGCAGGTTATTGCCATAGAATAGTTAGGGCCTACAGCTTCTTTCCTTCCCCATTAAATAGTGGCCTTGTTCAGTATATTTCTTTTAAAAAATTGCTTACTGTTGAAAGCAATGAAGCACATTCTGGGGTTTTGATGGTTGGGGACTCTGGTGATGGTTCCATATAAGATGGGATCTTATTACTTGCTGTATTCTTAACTTCTGCTAATAAAAGAACCAAATGGAATATTGTCTAGTTTGGGTCTTTCTGTGCTGTGTGTGAAGCTTGAAAAAGTCACTTTCCCTTTCTTCCTTCCCAATGCTCACAGGCAGCACTTCATAGGTAAAAGACTTCTGCTGCTGCAGAAACCAATCTGATGCCTAAAGGCTCGTTTACATACGGTGGAACGGATGCTTGCTGTACGCCTCCTCGAGCAAAAGCCAGTGTGTGGGAGTTCATGCGACTGAAACGTTAGTTCTGCTACCTGTCATCCACTTCGTGTCTATGATTCACGTCAAGTATGGCCTGGTCTTGCTATAGATTTCAATACTGTTTAACATGTATAAACATCACAGCAAAGGTGTCCGTGGACTATGCTGCTTCTTAGTGCTAATCTCGAGGGAAATTTGTTTTTCCAAAGTCTAGACTTTTATTCAATGCCCACTGGAGTTGCCCCTTGTAGTACGGGGCCAATAGTGGTGTGGGGGAGGGAGGTCTTACGAGGTGTGTCTGGTGCCACCGCCTCATGAAGCTGCTCGTCATAAGAATTCCCCTGACATACAATTATCCTGAACTTGCACAGAATGAAAAGCCTGGGACAACATTTATCCAGTCCCGTGACTGCTTGTTTTTGACCTCTGCCTTATTTTAAAAGTGGCTTGAGGACAAAGTGGGATTGGTGTTACTGCTAAATTTCATCTTTTGCTTTGGAAAGCTAAGCTGAACCCATGCTGTAGAGTGAGTGTGTAAAGCTGCAGGGTGATCTTGGGTCTGGCCAGCCTTTGTCAGGTCGGCCTCTCCATCCCCCAAAGCCTCCCTCTGAACCTAGGCTAGCTGTAATTTCAAAGGTTATCTGGTTTTGCATGGTTAGAGACACTAACGTTCAGTGGCTCAGTTTTCTAGTTCCGGGTCTTGCAGATTTTAGAACAGACTGCATGTGTACTGTCCCCTTTCTCCCTCCAAGGTTTAAAAGGGCTTTCTCTCACCACTGCAGGTTGGGTGCCAGGGGGTAACAGGCAGACAAAAGAAAGGAACAAGCTGGCCAAGGAGTCAGCCTGGGTGGAGCGTGGTGGAAGGAGCAGAAACTGCGATTTATGGACAGCATTGGAAAGCCAAAGGTGAAGCACTGAGGGAGTGAGAGCTTGCAAGGAGGAAAATGGGCAGGAGGGACTGAGGGTGCAAAGAACAAGAGCTGGGTGGGCGCTGGAGACCTTGGTTGTTGTGGGCAAATTTTTAGGTGAGTTGAGATTGAGAGGAGACCTTCAAGAAGCCTGGACTCAAATTCCTGGTGTAGAGGAAATGCCTCCCAGAGTGTACCCAAGTAAGGGATCGATTGGCTTCTCCCGGTCTGCAGGCTCAGGGGCTGGCAGGGGCAGGAAGGAGTCAGGTTTGGCTGGGGAGGGAGCGGGGCCCTGTGCCTGGAGTGGGGCCTTCCGCTCCTTCATTGCCATTCCTCAGCTGTCAGCAAACATCTGTGAACCGCCTGGGCAAGATGGGCCTAATCCTCCTCTTGTGTTGCTTCACGCTGAGTCTGGGCACCTACAGCTGTGCTGTTTATCAGTTAACTTGACTCGAGATGCATGTTTTGCAGTGACTTGTGAGAGAGCCAGCTCCAGTAAATGACCTGTGGCAGCTTGAGGTCTCAGGATGGATTTTCTTTTTTTTTTTTTTTTAATGCAAAGCAAATCATGGAGCGTGGAGAATGCCATCATCAGGTTACACACAAATTACACTAAGAAAGGCTGCCATGTTTGAATATGAATTGGGTTTATTTTGTTTTCAGAAAGCGGAATGATACAAGTTGCCTGGGAGGGCTAATACTTTATGTCCTACCTCTCCTGCATGTAGTTGTGGCCATGCTTTGCCCTCTCCCAAGAATCGCTTGCTTCATTCGTTGCAAAGGGTGAACTTAGCCTGAGTATGGATTAAAGTGCTGCAATCAAGGTGAATGCCGAAGGCCATTGCCTAACTTCTTAAGGAGCTGGAAATAGATTAAGCGTATGATTAGAATGGAGGAGCTAAGTTTGGCTTAGTTGAATCTATTAGAGACTTCCCTGTGAAATGGAGTTCTTTTTTCCCTTTTTCCCCCCTGCCTTCTGTGTGGCATCAAGCAATTTGTTTGAACCAAACTCTCCTGCTGGTCAGTACCTCTATATTTGTCTGGAGTGCCCAAGCTGAAATTCTCCAGGCTGATTTCCAGGAGTGCTGAGCACTGATGTGCTTTCAATGAAGTTTCCTGAAAAGATCAACTCCCTGGAAAAGATGTTTGTTAATTCCTAGGTCCATATTGCTCTTTATGAAGAAGGAATAGTGGCCTCGAGCTCATGGCAATGTTGAGCATGTCACACCTTATCAACTACTTGAACAACGAGCAACGTAGGAGAAGCGCAGAAGCAAACCCTCTGCCTGGCATCACCTGGGCAGCACTGCAGTTCAGCAGCGGCGAGAAGACCGCTGCGTAACTGGTCCCTTGCTCACCACCTTGTTCACCGTCGGGAAGGTAGGCTCCTTGGGGAGGGATGGCGGGATGCGAGCCTGGTGCTCCTTGCGTGTGTGCAAGGGCGTGCTTTGCCAGCTCGGTCTTAATTCTGGCACTTCCAGGAGCTTCACCTTTGCCTTTCTCTCCTCTAATAATATGTTTGAACAACGGAGCTACTGTTGTTTCTGAGCTGGGAGGTAAGCTTCAAGATGATCTTGCTTTCTAGCAGCTTCATCTCTGGTGCTGGTACAACTGGGCGTAGAGGCTCTTCACAGTTGGTATAAAAACCGAACCAGTCTGGTTGTAAACAAGATGGGAAAATCGTGGGCCTGGCTGGGGTCCCAGAGCAACGATGCATTTCCCTAACAGAGGCAAATGAGACCCAAACCAGCACCAGCAGCTGTTTTCTGTTTTCATCTCTAACCATGTCGAACGTGTGCATTCGGTTTGAGGCTTGCCTTA